CATCACAGCGATGCGCTACATTGACCAAGCTCTCAGATCCCACGTCATACCACATTTCGCACGTCACCAGAACAACATTTTCCAGCATGATAACGCCCGGGCCCATACTGCCAGAGCTACATGGGACTTACTACAGCACAATGGTGTCAACATTATGCAGTGGCCAGCCCTTGGTCCTGATTTAAACCCAACTGAACATCTTTGATGAAATTCAGAGGAGACTGGATAATGTCATACCAAGGCCGAACACAGCCGATTTATTGCGCCAGGCTTTTCTCAGAGTGTGGTTCAAGGTGCCAATTGCCTTCATCAATCGATTGGTGCACTCCACGCATAGACGCTGTGCTGCAGTTATTGCCGCTCGTGATGGTCGCACTAGATACTGAAGTTAATAGTCTGAATATACTCCAAACGTTCACGTAATGTCTTGAAATTGTGCTGAATTATTCATTGATGTGTCAAGATATTCTACACAAAAAATGTTTTTGATCCGCTTATTATGTCCATTTCTGTAATGATTTTATTACAGTACCTATCTAATTGACGGGTTTTTTTGTGGCTGAGTATATATACACAGTAAAAAAAGTGTTGCACCCCCTATCTTTTTTCCGGGGTATGATGTTTTGGGCGTAACTGAACGATAACAGAATGAGAATTAGAACCTGGATGGTGCATACACCAACAAACCAGTCTTGTGCCTATAAAATGAACTGAAAAGGGGGATCCCCTGACCTCATGGTATGTAAGGATCTTGCCCTTAAGTATTCAAGGAAAACGAGACGGTTTTAAGTATGTCGAAACAAAACTTCTCTTAGGCTGAAACTGACATACAGAGAGTGGACAAACACAAACAGTCAATATCGTGAACTTTCGCCCAGTACTTGGATAACAGCTTCCTGTCTTCGTCTCATACCCCTCACCAGACGTCGAAATCGCTCTATTGGCAGCTGCTGCCACTCTTCGTGCAATGCTGCTTCCTGTTCCCGCACGTTCTGTGGAGGAGGATCCCTGCGTTGTATCAGACGGCCCAAAATGTCCCATATGTGTTTCAGGGGATTGAGATCTGGACTCATTGCTGGCCATGGGAGGTGAGTCAGTGCATTGTTCTGGATGACCTGGGTCACAGCTCGTGAACGATGTGGCCGAGCATTATCATCCATGAATATTGGCCTGGTTGCAAGTGGATGAGTGTCAAAATGTGGCACAACAACTGGATCAAGCACTTCCTGAATGTAGCGATCGCCCATTAAAGTGCCTTGTATGGTCACTAGATCCAGCTTACAGTCAAATGAGAAGCAACCCCATACCATAACCGTATGGTACCGTTGGCATGATGTTCCTAGGTGCATAAGCTGTACCCGGACGCCTCCAAACTCAGACTCTGCCATCCACAACATGTAGAAGAAATCTCCTCTCGTCTGACCAGTGGACTTTTCTCCAAGACCTCAAGTTCCACCCTTGTCTCTGTCTACACCAGGCTAGACGTAACCACTTGTGGTTCTCTGTGAGTTGGGGGCGCTTGATGACTCTTTTGGACCTCAATCCAGCGGCCTTGAGTCGATTTCTCACTGTTTGGTGGCTGATCTGACGATGAGGAAGCCATTGGCGTTTGAGGGTTGCCCTTGAAGCAAAGGGTTGCCGCCTTACCAGCCTTAGCAATGCTCTGTCATCCCTGACTGTGGTTGCACGTGGTCTGCCTGAAGGTCTGCGATTCATTACCTCATTAGTCTGCGCATGGTTTCTCACCAGGCGGCTTATTGTGGAGTAATGATGCCCGGTTCTTCTGCCAATCTCCTTGAAGGACAGACCTGCCCTATTGAGTCCAATAATCTGCCACTTGACTGCATCTGCTATTCTCGCACCCGGCATGCTGCGTTACAAAGGATTAAACGGCCAGAAAAACAATTTTATAGGCGAGATTCATCACATGAGCATACTGCAATTTGCAAAAATCATGAAGAATGATATTCACTTGCAGGTTGCTACGTTTTAGAGATCGTTTTCACTACGAAAACATAATGACTCCAACACCAAATCCTAGCAGAAAGGTTATCATCAACAACCTATTCGGGTGTTTTGGATATGCCAACGTCACCAGAGTTTTAATATGGGGGTGCAACACTTTTTTTACTGTGTATATATATATATATATATATTGCGAAAAGATAATTACTTGATTTGTGTTTTTTTCTTTAATCTTTGTTTAACGGGATAATAACAAAATCTGTATGATTTGACACTAGCCATCGTGACACACCCTTTAAGAGATGTGCTGTCAAAAGTCAGTTCACAAATTCAGTATCGTGTGTGTCCGCCATTGGCGTTGATGGAGGCTCGACGACGCATAGACAACACTCAGCGGTTGAATAAAGCTTGGGGAATGTTGTTCCATGTCTGAACCAACGCTTGCCCCAGTTCAGCTAACACCAATGACTGATTCTGGCTTTGACATAAACGTCGCTCCATTTCATCCCATTCGTGATCGATAGTGGATAGGTCTGGAGAAAAAGCTGGCCAGGGGAGTACCGGAATGTTCTGCTGTCTCAGGAAATCTGTCACAACACGTGTGGACGGGGCCTGAAACTGATTGGACTTAAGCCAGGAATTTTCCGAGCAGTCAAACAAACTGACGGTCTGGAATCGATTCCTTAGATGGGTCAGCCGAATGTGGTTGTCTTGCTGACGTGACGTTATGCGTGGACTGCCGGTCCGAGGCAAATCTCGCGTGTTCTCGTTATGTTGAAAACGTCTCCACATAGATGAGATCGTGTTTCGATGGACACCAAAATTCCAGTCTCCAGCATATCCACGACGCAGTTTAGGTTGAAATTTACGTGTTCAGAGGTTAGAGAATAATCAACCGTTCTTCAGTTTTCAATATCAGGTGTGTGAACTTCAGGTGTCTTGCTACATGTTTATTTAGGGTTATTTTAAAACTTTTCAAATAACTTTGATTTTATGTAGTTTTATGTTTTGCAGTTATTTTTTCCGTTGGTATATATTCAGTCATATCGTCAGTAACACAGAATATGAACTATCATATCGCAAATAACATTGATATTGTATATTACTAAATAGGTTAACATCGGTTAAGGTTCATCTGAGCCGCCCAGGGTTTTGATTCGCATGCAAGTAATGTTAATGTACGCTCGAAGATATTTCGAACCTGTCCAAGTGCGATTTAGGATTTCGTCGATAAGACCAATCCTGAATATTTACGTATATTCTTTCCGGGCTAATGCCAAGTCAATGACTAATCTGCGATGTCATCACTAGAAAAATACATCGTCAATATGCATCGTCTTTTCGAAATCAAAAACTACATGGGAGTCGCCAAAGAGCGAGGCGCACGTGCAAAAGGCTAAGGGAATGTATTACACGGAAACATATGACACAAGCCAAAATTGGGATTTGCATCGGACATAATGTTTTCTCATTGATACGTCAAATTTGGTAAGTCTTCCATATGCACATCTTTTGAGCAGGAGTCACAATCTCATTGTAATCTGTGTAGAAGGACCATACTCGATTGTGCACTAAATGTTGTGAAATGCACAGAACAAATACTATAACTCAAGTGATATTGGGACAATGAAACCATCCCTCTTGTCATGCATACAGTTTTTTTTAGAGTTTCCAACTTCGAATCAGACGATGCGATGTTACTCGTGTCTTCAATTACATGTTCAGGCGGGTAAACAACTGTCGGAGAAAAGAAAGTTATCACCGACTTCACTTGACCAAAAACTAGCAACAAAGACCTATGTGAGTTTTATGATAATTACTTTACAGACAGAAATCATTTTCCAATACTTTGACTGAAAAAAATTAAGTGTAATGCTGGTCTTTCATTTGCCGCAATTCATTACGAAAGAGTTAAGGGGTCAAAAATAAATATTAAACAAATCAGAGTTCATTCAAAAAGTTCCTAAAGAGTCACGTTATCAACAGTGAGTGTAGCCACCTAAGCATCCATACACGCCCACACACGTCATCATTGACGTCATCAGTCGGCGGATGACATCAGCTGGAACCTGTTCCATAAGTCCAAGAGAGTCTGTTCAAGTTCCTTTCACTAGAGGTGGTACACGCTGTCTCACCTGACGCTCCAGATGATCCCAGAGATGTTCAATGGGGTTCCTGTCTGGAGAACGCACTGGCCAAGACAATACGTTCAAGTTAAGGTTGTGCAGGTATTATCGATCAATTCTGGCGGTGTGAGGCTTTGCGTTGTCGTGCTGCAAAATGACTCCTCTTGGCTGTTACCGAATAAAGGGCCCCACAAAATGTCTTAACACTTCACCCCTGTATCGCTGGGCATTCACATGTCTTCGGATCATAACCAGTCTTTTTGTTCGCTGGCCACAAATGTCGCCCCATACCATGACGCCTTCACCATCGAACGGATGGAGCGCCAGTCCATGGAGGGGCGGTACGCTTGTATACCAGCCACACCAAGTCGTCGAAGAACTGTTCGTCTGCTTATGGCGTGTCCTAGTGCTGTCGCCGTCACCGTGGTGGATATGCCGGATGTAGCGGTCTTCGGCCGGTGTCGTGACTCTTGGTTTTCCCGATGTTGGGCGGTCTTGGGTCTGGGTGGCGTTTTTTTCGTTACAGCATGCTTGCTCTGTCCAGCATTGGTATTTATGCCACATGAACATGCATGTCCCACAATTACGTTTTTCACGTTTTGAAAACTGCACGATTCGTACGAAGTTTTCTGACACCTGCGTTGTTAGCGGGACCAGGCTGTGTTTTTGGTGAATGTTTTCTGCTTTATTTGAGACCTGTGCCAGCGTCTTTGTTTTTAATACAATAACTTTCTTTTGTCCGGTAGGGACTTGGCTATTTGATTATTTGAACCTTACCAAATCATCGATATATATGAATAAAGCCATGGTAATAGCCAACTGAAGCATACTAAGTTGTGTGTATGACCTTTTGTAAAATAATGTTACATGATGACAACTTCAATTTCATTCCTAAAAACAAGCACGGTGTTTTGTCTCTTGCCCATCTGTTTACTGACGTAATAAAATCACTGCGTGTAAACTGGTGTAAAGGTACATGGCAGCATAACATACATTTTCGTGATCAAAACATATTCTGACAAAGCTGTACCTGATAACTGGCGACACGCAATGACAGAGAGCTACAATTCAATTAACAATATTAACAACGAGTGTGGTCACCGCTTGCGTTGAAACAGCGTAGCAGTGGTTGGGCATCGAGGACACCAGATGACTGAAAACACTGTAGGGGTTGTCCAGCATCAACCAAACACTGACCCAGGTGAGCAAGTAACCCATGTTACTAGGCCCTGTCGTAAGCCTCCCATTATGCCATTCTATGGGGATAGAGGCCTGCAGAAACAGCCTACCATGGCAATGCAATAATGTTTACAAATAATGGATTGGGTGGTCAGTCTCGCTGACGTGTCTGGTGCATCTCAGCTGTGTAGATCGATCATGATGTGTCAATTACTGGACTTATTTCGATTATTTCGATATTTCGATTATTTATTTATCATTTTGCTAGCGTTAAACAACAAACAAATCAATAATGTTACATTTCCTCAAAGTCTGTTACAAATTAAAATGTCTAGCTGTGGCATTGTGTAAGCGATATTTGCGGCTAAACGATCATTGTGTGCTATTCTCATACAAATAATGTGATATGAAACAAAATCAGACAGTGAATAATCTCAATCAGCGGTGAGAGAGCTCCACTGCACTATTATTACTGTTACACTAATACATAAATACAGATATATTCCTGATGTTCATACGCCAGTATTAAATCATTCTAGAGAGGCAAGAGTCGCCCTTCGGCTAGTCCCGGACACGGGTTGGTCACGATTGGCCATGAACAAACCTTGACACCTGCACTGTTAACAAACATACACACAATCATATTTCCGAATCCATCAACCTATTTCCGAGAAGTCGAAGATGGATGAAGACTTATGGGCGACGACGACGGACGACGTCTCACGTCATAAGCCACTTGGCATTTTAAAAAATCATTGCACAGATGATCGAGCTTTCACAAACTCAGTATACCAATGTGATGATGCTAATGAGAGTTACCGACGAGTGGATGGCGTGCACACATGAGATGCCAGTAGAAGCAAGACTCGTGCTTTTAAAGAAATAACGCTATTGCATACATGTCCAGTTAACCATGTCAGGAATTCTGTTCAGGTTTCCCTCTTGGCAGGTACATGTTAAACCTGAAAGGAATGATAGTCTTCCCCCTGAGCTCATTGATGGCGTCTGTGTATTCATTCAGGACACGTCTGCACACTGTCTCCACATCCAACATTCTCGGGGCTACCACGTCATGACGGTATGATGCAATGATTTCATCATATCTTGCAGGATCTACGATCTTGAGTTCAGCTATACCAATTGCGTCGACTAGAGTTTGTCTAGCGACCTTGGTCTCTCTGAAGGTCTCCGTTAGGGGGCAGTGGTGGCTAAGGTTGTGTTTTAAAACTGTCTGGTAGCGTTCATGCACTCTCATGAGTATATTACTGAGCTGGCGCCCGGGGAGCCGTGCTGCTGAGACACTGGTATTCTGGACCTGCTGCCGTGGGGCGTCTGTCCCAGTGCCTGTATCCTGCAGCAGACTGAGGGGGCCAGTACACGTGGTTTCTGACGGACCAAGAGTCGGAGCTGAGTTCTCATTCTCGTGTAGCGACACTGGTGTTGCTTCTTTTTGTGACAATGACTCAATGTTGTAATTTCGAATCAGTAACCGCGACCGCAAGTGTTCTGCCATTACTGGGTTGTTGTCATGAAATGTGATATCACACACGTCACAGATGAATAATGACGTCATATGCCATGTGCGATAGGCGAAGGAAACACAAGATTTTTCCATACAGCACAACGTGGCACGCATCTCCCTGCAGTGTCCACATAGAACAATGCCGTCTGCATGACTCGGACCTCGTGACACATCTCGGAATTGTGAGTCCACTTGTGTCCCTGCACGATTACTGGAGGAGGTCGAGCACACTTCCTGTTTGATCTCTGCCGATGTCATCACCTGCGTCTGTTTAGAAGGTCCGAGATCGTCGTCCTGTATCTCCACGTCTAAATCTCTTTCCCCACTCGCTTTCCGTTTCTTGGCACCGAAAGATGATGTTTTCATTGACGAAGTTATTTGCCACATCCTCCTTGGACGTCCTAGGAATGAAAGGAGAGATAGGATCGGTCACTAATGGAATGTCCAGAATACTAACTTGTAAAGGTATGGTCAGTTAGAACTAACGCCAGTTCGTCTGTCTGCTCAGCATGTACGTCATAACATTGACTGTCAATCAAGAAGTTCACGATTACTATACTTCCAACTGGACCTATGTTGAAAACAGGCAAAAGAGCATATCCGCAATCCTTATGTAATTAAGTGTAAAGCTAAGATGGACCACAGTAATTAACCACACAAGGACACAGGCACATTTCCATGACATGTAAACTCGACAAAGGTCACGTACAATATTGCTGACCAGATGATTATATACTGAGGCATAACTTTACTGTAAACGAAATTAACCAAGGAGTGACTAGAGATATGTCAATGGATACAATAATCTGGATAGCACAAAATAAGTCACTGTCACAAAAAAAGCACACTTCTTGATTTCTGTTACCCGGCTGTTTCTCCAAACCTCTCCCCGTACAATATCCTGTTATAGTGGACTACTGGATGGAATGGGGTCAGACATAGCCACAATATGGGTATATACAGTCATAATAGGATTACATAGTCACAATGGGGTCAGATCTAGTCACAATATTAGAATACACAGTCATCATAGGATTACATAGTCACAATGGGGTCAGATCTAATCACCATATGGGTATATACAGTCATAATAGGATTACATAGTCACAATGGGGTCAGATCTAGTCACCATATGGGTATATACAGTCATAATAGGATAACATAGTCACAATGGGGTCAGATATAGTCACAATATGGGTACATACAGTCATAATAGGATTACATATTCGCAATGGGGTCACATCTAGTCACCATATGGGTACATACAGTCATAAGAGGATTACATAGTCACAATGGGGTCAGATATAGTCACCATATGGGTATATACAGTCATAATAGGATTACATAGTCACAATGGGGTCAGATCTAGTCACAATAAGGGTACATACAGTCATAAAAGGATTACATAGTCACAATGGGGTCAGATCTAGTCACAATATTAGTATACACAGTCATAATAGGATAACATAGTCACAATGGGGTCAGATATAGTCACAATAAGGGTACATAGTCATAATAGGGTTACATACAGTAACAATGGGGTCAGATATAGTCACAATATGGGCACATACAGTCATAATAGGATAACATAGTCACAATGGGGTCAGATATAGTCACAATAAGGGTACATACAGTCATAATAGGATAACATACAGTCACAATGGGGTCAGATATTGTCACCATATGGGTATATACAGTCATAATAGGATTACATACAGTCACAATGGGGTCAGATATAGTCACAATATTAGTATACACAGTCATAATAGGATAACATAGTCACAATGGGGTCAGATATAGTCACAATAAGGGTACATACAGTCATAATAGGATAACATAGTCACAATGGGGTCAGATATAGTCACAATAAGGGTACATACAGTCATAATAGGATTACATACAGTCCCAATGGGGTCAGATATAGACACAATATGGGTACATACAGTCATAATAGGATAACATACAGTCACAATGGGGTCAGATATAGTCACAATAAGGGTACATACAGTCATAATAGGATTACATAGTCACAATGGGGTCAGATATAGTCACAATATGGGTACATACAGTCATAATAGGATTACATACAGTCACAACAGAGTTATATACAGTGAGACTACATACACTTACAATGATGATACAGTACCAACAGTAACAGGTTTGCAGTAACAGTGACCTTTAAACTAAGTAAGATGCAGATGGATATGAAGTAGGTCAACAGTTAGCCGTGAAATTCGTACATGAATATGCGCGTACGATACCCTGTGACTGTGTCCTCATCACGCCACGCCAGCGTGTTGTCTACTTACAGATCACCACGGTGCCGGTCTGTGGAAACCAAATCCCGGTTATATGTGAAGTGCAGATATTGTTGCCTAGGCCTAACGCTCGGTCTCGTAATGTAGGTCACCCGCAGATCGTGTAGCGTGAGGCGATCTCCCGGCCAATCGGCAGCCGTTGCCTAGCAAAAGCTCGACTAAAGCACGGCCGCGGTGCAGATAACGAACGTCGAGCGTGATTGTAATGCCCTGGAACACCTCAGGCGAAACATGGGCGAGGGTAACGGGTTTGGCTGAACGATTCACGCGTTTTACTAGCCGGGGTTGTACAAACTACATGGGCTCGCACTCCACACGAACGAGGGTCAAAAGGTGTATGCGACTATGTGCTCTTAAAATTTACGGATTTTGCTTTCATGAAACCTGTACAATGCGTACGGATACAGAGGGGATAAGGGGGGACAGTACGTGTGCTTGGGGCGTTCAACTCGGAGTAACAACCAGGCTGTCACACTGTACCCGTACCAGGCTGTCACACTGTACCCGTAGCCTGGAGAAGCATGCACAATGTGAATCCCCCCCCCTCCCCCCTAATTTTATGTACAAAGTAGTGACACCCCACCCCACCCCACCCCCATGCATGCATGTCATGTACAAAATCAATGACTACCCCCTTGCACATGCATGCATATGTGTACATAATTGATGTCCCCTCCCTGTCTCCCCAGAACAAAATGAGTGACCCCCTCCCATTTCATTATCACCCCCATAGCCATAAATTATGAATGGTCCCTTAGAACATCCAAACCCCACTTCCGACCGAGCCACAATTTGTTTGAACTCTTATACGAAGCAAAGAAACATGGCGACAGAATTAAATCACTGCCCCAACGTTTCACTCTAGAATGATACAGGAGAACGGATCCACTCCAGGGTGAAATTATCCACGTATCAAACCTTTGCCCACATTGCTTGACTGTTGGCTTTTTCCACGACCCGGTAACTAACGGGGCAGTAGGGTAGCCTAGATGTTAAAGCGTTCGATCGTCATGCCAAAGGTCCGGGTTTGATTCCCCACATGGGTACAATGTGTGAAGCCCATTTCTGGTGTCATAATCCGTGATATTGCTAGAATTATTACTGAAAAAAACATACTTACTCACTCACTCACTCATGTAACTAACCTGATGCAACATTACAGACCGAAGGTACAGGCAGGCGAGCCTAAGGTAACTACGCCCAATAAAGACCGAAACTCGTGTAGTTGGCATCTCGTGTGTCGATAGGCATATTGACAATCGACAAACAGTGGCAAGGCGACTAACTGCTTAAGGAATTAAGGCCTACAGACCACACAGAGGGCAGTTTTTCACAATGCAAGATCGTCGTCAGAGATTGAGATGTGCCACGATCGTACGTCGTTGGTAGCTACGTGACTGGCAGAGGGTCGTCTTCACTTACGAAAGTCGGTTTTGTTTAGAGAAGATGAACGACAGCGTGTTTGCCGCCGCTGGGCGCCATGTTGACATCAGTAATGTCAACACACTGTACATCAACCTCTTCAATTGTATAAATATCCTTCATATATATAATCTTCCTGTCCAATAATGTTGTGTAACACATGCTTGCTAACGCTGGTAGCGTCTACAATAGTCGCATCTATTGCAGTAAAGAAGTTGTCTATCCATAATAATGGTTCCTCTTCGACAGTATATCAGATAACAGTAATTTCGTAACAAATAGTGTGAAGACCATTTCTGGTGTTCCCCGCCGTGATGTTGCTGGAATATTGCTAAAAGCGGTGTAAAACCAAACTCAGTCAGTCAGTCAGTCGTAACAAATATGAAAACAGTTCATGACTTACGGAATACATTCTTAATTATGGATTAAATGCATTTCAATAACGTTTAATCATAGTGGTATGCTGACAAGACGGAGTTGGCTCATTTTCATTAATCTTGCAATTGTTAAATATAACAAGACTTCATTTTAATAGAGTTGTTTGAATGTATAGCCTTACGATAATTGTAATAAAGATGAGTGTTCAAATTCATAGTGGTGGCCATGAATATGATGATTCGGGAGTAGAATTACCAAGCTAACACAATTAATATTGTCAGATTTGTTTTTATTTAACAATGATATATTCAGTACATGAAAATTTGAAGTACATGTATATTATTGTATATTGATAAGAGAACTAGCCAAAGGTACATGAAATGCCCATTCTTTCAAAAGATTCGTAAACCTTCATCATTAAATATCTTGGAATAGATAATTTATCGCACATACTATCAGATACTGGTTTCATGTTAAGGCGTTTTTCATTCAATCTTGGCGTATATATGAAGTATTTATACTGTGCACGCATAACGAATACAGAGTTACGGAAAAGCAATATATTGGGGTAGGGCGGTGCTTGTGGCCAATACAGTATGCAGGAAGAATAAGGGGTTGCTTCTTTCCTGGGAAGTGTTTTCTTCAGCAATTATGATGTCTTATAATCCCCATTGCAGTGGTGTGATGTTAGGAAAATCCCGAGGCAAGAGGATGAAGGTGGACTAACTTGAGACAATAAAGTCCACTTTAGCATTACTTCTTGATATCAAGAAGATGTTTTGACCCTACTAGACTGCTCCATCAAGAGAAACATCACCGAAGTCCAGGCTTACAAGATCTCCAGAGAAGCACCACAGAAGACCCCGGAATGTGAGCAAGTCTCCACAGAAAGAGGTTTCAACCAAGTTTCGTAAAGCGCGTAAAGAACCTCAAAGGTCCAGCTCTCCCAGGAGGCCCAGAGAAGAAGAAACAGCAAGGAATGCAAGAAAGATGACGTCTATCGGATGCATGCTACTACCTCCAAGACAGAAGAGACCTGACAAACCATTTTTCTGCTGGTACCTGAAGCATCACCTGGCGTCCTAGGAGCTGGGAGACCCCCAGATGAGAGACTCCTCCAGTGGGAATTTGCTGCAATGACCCTGGACCCTGGAGGATAGAGAAGAGCCTCCTACACGACAGATGGAATATGATTGCCCACACTATTCACGCTTTATTTCAGTTATTTTCTGTTCTCAAGTCGACCCCTCAAAAGAATAATGACGTAACGGGACGTAATATCTTGTAATTTGATTGGTCCAAACGGATATGTGATCGTTTGCTCACACTTATAAATACCACGAGCTGGGTCATTCTGACGTCTCCAGTCCACAGGTCAGTTTCAATCCAAGGGCAGATAATTCTGCCCAAAAGTTCCACTTGTGCTTACATTTTTCGATAGCTGAAGCTAAATATAGACTGCTCTTTTTGAAAACAAAAACACATTATTATCTGAGTAACTCAGATAAAGAAGCCACCACTATATTTACACAGCAGTAACCTAGTATTTGAGTTATAGGCAATAGTTATATAGCACTGGCACTGCTGAATACACAACAAACCTTAAACCTTACAGGGATCTACTTATACAAAACCCCATTGTGCTGAAATACTTATATTCCCATATAAATAAAAGCTGTTTAATCATCGACAAGAGGTGTCTGACTTTTCGTTACACCAAGACTGGCAAGGTTTATTGGAAGTTCGAGTCCCGGTCGCCACATTATTGACAGTTGTACCAGGTGGCTTGTGTAATAACGATAGGGACTGTTAATCTACCATTCCTGCGAAGCAGATTCGGTTCCTGGCAACCGACAACCATGTGGACCTACGTCAAGGTGTGCATGTTCTCCTCAGAAAATATTATCTCCAACCAGGGTAGTACTGTCTTTGAGAAGTAGTTCTGTATTTTATGATTACGGTGGATGTGGTACTTGTTTCTAGAATGTAAGATGTTTTCATGAAAATGGAAATACTACAAGGTCGGACATATTATGATGATAGTTAGTCGATCTGTGATTGCCATCAACGTCCGTACGGTGGCCCTTGCAGACTAGTAATAATTAAATGGTCTCTGTTAGTATTGACCGCCATTTTGCCTGAGGAGCTACAGCCAGCAGCTCACTTCAGCGGGTGCTGGGTTTCTGTCGTGCACTGACCGCCCAAGGACATCCCACATGTAGTCTGTCTCACAGTCCCTGAACCACTTTAATTTCCCTACTGCCTTGCCCTCTCTGCAGTGCTAAAGCCCTAAATAAAGCAAGTCTAGATTTCCTCAGGTTCTGAATCTCTTGTCTCCCTAGGGCTCCTTTTCAATATAAATGGGCTTGTTTGTTACTATCAAAATTATATATATTCAGAGACTAAGCCTTAGTCTATCCCACATGCTGTATACGGCGCACATCTGGGAACTCAGCGGCCAGTCCAGCGGAAGGGGTCGTTGTCGGCACGGGTACTACAGATGTGCACCCCAGGGACGTTTCTGTATACCGAAATGTACCCTAGCCAAAATCGGAATACAGAAACGTACCCTTGGACGATTCCATTCTGCATTGTGGAGTTTTCTTCATCGGAACTGTCATGCTGTTGTATTAGATGCATTTGATATCATTACATAAGAGCATACCCAGCAGGCACATCAACGTTGTTTCAACGTTGAGAATAGGTTGATCCTCAACGTTGAAAAAAGATTGAAAATAGGTTGTATATGAAAGTTTTTTTGACGTAGATATCCGACGTGGAATCAACGTTGAAGTTTGACCGATTATCAACGTTGCGAATAGGTTGATCCTCAACGTTGAAAATAGATTGAAAATAGGTTGTATATGAAAGTTTTTTTGACGTAGATATCCGACGTCGAATCAATGTTGAAGTCTGACATATTATTAACGTTGAAAATGGGTTGTTCCGTGGTTGTGTCTGGGAGGTATTACGCTTTCCTGTAAATAGACTCGCATTTCATCTTTAAACTACAATAAAGTAGCACCAAACTCCTGCATCCAGCTAAAATACCCAAAAAGCTATCTGCAATAAACAGTGTTCAAACAGAACATTGCAGTAAAAATATTTACCTGATAAAATACTTGGTTAAAATTCCACATTCAATATAATGTTCATTTTAGTTTTATGTCAGTTGGATGTATAATTCCAGTAAGAAGAAAAGATCATTCCAAATTAAGAAAAACTATTTACTGTTGTATTGTTACCTTGAAAAGGTGAAAATTGTCCCGAGAAGACATTTTGTTTGAATTTCAGCTCTTACACAGACCTCTGAATAAACACAATGCAATTACTTTCACCATGAAAGGGATCCAAGATGACCAGGAACTATACCTGAAGACAGCACAT